CTTTAGGGTATGTGTGCTCACCAGAAAGACAGAGAGATACAGAGAGACAGAAAGCAAGAAATACCCCCCAGGGGGGATGGCTATGCCACAATCCCTTCTCCTCCATTGCTCTCTCAAGATTTTGGGCACAAACACACACGTGCCTGGCATGAGTTTTAAGCCACCGGGTCCAGGACTTGAAATGCAATCAACTACATGGGAGTCCAGCAATGTAACCATTACACTATTTGCTGGTCCCCAATTATGCCATCCACTGGTCCCTATAGCATTTTTATATACCAATAATGAATTAGTACATAAATCTGCTATGGATTTTTGTATATTGATTTTGCATTCTGCTTCTTTACTGAATTAATTTATCAATTCTAGGAGTTTTTTCATGGATGCCTTTGGATTTTCATATCCTATTATCATATCCTCTGTGAATAGGGATTGTTTACCTTTATTTTTCCCTCTGAATGTCTTTTATTTTGCTTTCCTGTCTGATTGCATTGACTAGGACCTCTAGCACTATGTTGAAAAGGACTGGAGAAAATGGGCAGCCATGTCCTGTTGCAGTTTTTAGTATTATGTTAGCAATAGGTCTGTCATATACAGTTTTCATTGTGTTGAGGAATGTCCCTTCTACCTCTATTTTTCTGAGAGTCTTGATCATGAAGGGATATTGTATTTTATCAAATGCTTTTTTTTTTTGCATCTCTAGACATGATCATATAATTTTTATCTTTCTTTCTGTTAATGTGATATATTAACATTTATCGTTTTGGGTATTTTCTGTTTTCTTTTGTATCTCATTGAGTTTTTGTTGTTGTTTGTTTGTTTTTGATGAATATTCTGAACTCTTCTTCTGACTTTTCTATCATTTTCTGTGTTTTATTCATTGTTGGTGTTCCTTTGGGGGAGAGGTATTTCCTTTTTTTTTTTTTCTCATATTTGTGGTATCTCTGCATTGATTTTTAGACATCTAGTGGAGTACCCACTTCTTTCTAACTTGAAGGGTTGATTCTGTAATGCTGAGGGAGGGAAGAATATTTCTAGATCCCAGGAGTGCCCTTGGCAAAGTGACCCAGGAAGGGCTAGAATATTGCCACATATTGCAGAGCAGAGCTTATATAGCCCGTGCATGAGATATGGAGATGGAGAGACTCTTCAGACCCATGTAGAGTCCTGGCAAATGGTCCAGGAGGGTCCACATGGCAAAACTGGAAGCCACAGCAATCACCATTTGAATTTCTAGCCTGGTTGGCCTGAAACACAATGGACACACACATGAGTCCCTAAGATCTGGCAAGCTGATGGACTGAAGGAAGGGGGTTGTAGTATAACCAGACCCTGTAGAGGGTAAGTCTCAGTCATGCTCTTTTTCTTATATGTGTACACACTCACTCTATCATGGATAAAAAAAAAAATTTTAATCTAAAAAAGGGGGGGATGGGGAACCAGCAGTTAGCGTAATGGCTATGTCGCTGGACTCCCACGTAGTCGACCGCGGTTCGTGTCC